GCAAAGCCCGGTAAGGAGCGAAGCTCAAACGAACAAAACGGTGCGAAGGCGTCGATGGGCACCAGAAGCGTGAGGAAGGTGCCGAAGAAGGCCGTGTCCACGATTGCGGCGTAGGGTGACAGGAGCGCCACGCTTAGCCAGGAAGGCGGTGACGAAGGTAAAGTGCCAGACCCAATTTGCCGAACACGAAGACCTTGCAGAAGAGCAGGAACACCGGCCCAAACTCCACGTGGGTGAAGACCACCTCTGTGAAGAGGACCAGGGGAAGCGGCCGCCCTGGGTCATCCGCCAAGGACTGCGTCCGACAGGGCGATGTAGACTTTCGCGAGGAGAACGAACTTCAAATGCCGAAGAAGGTACCCTTTCGCGTAGATGCAGAAGACGGCAGGTCAGGATATTTTTTTTGATTGGCGGCTCACAAGGACAGATCCAAGAAGCGGGACGTACTCGGCTGGGGCACATGGCGAGATAATTAGCTGCAGAGGCGCATAGGCCACGGCAGCAGGTGCACGTGCCAGGGACAAAATGACCCTCATTAGGACGTTGGCGACCCGAAATCGGAACGCAAGCCCGAACTGGGGACGGAAGGAGCTGTCGCACACGTGGCGCCAGGCTCTGACCGTACCGAACAGCGCGTATGGCCGGGGCACGCTGCGCTGAAGCGGCACGGAGTGGCCGGGGTGGCCGCACCGTCCATGAAACGAAGAGGAGGCCAAGGAAGAGGAGAAACACAGCATGCACAAGGGCACGCGGCGGCAGGAGAAAGAGGGGCACAGATGGCGACCTCACTCGCGGTGACTCATAGGACGCTTTTGGGCAGACGAACGTCCAATCCAACGCGAGGAACCGCTGGCCATGTCTTCGGAATCCATAGCCTACAACTTGCCTGACACTGCAGTCGGGGGCGTACAGCTGCAAGCACTGGTCGAGTCCTCAGGACCACCCTGCGGGAGGACCGTGATGAACTGCCAAAGGATGAGCCACTTGAGCAGTAGCAAGAACTCGGGGGCGACGTCCACCGTGGGAACCCAGTCGTCGACGTCGTCGGCGTGCAACGCGAGCAGTGTCCGTCGCAGAAGACGGGGGCACATAGTCGCAAGCGTAAAGCGAGGCAAAAAGGGACGGACCTGCCGGGGGATCCGCGGTGACCTGCCAAAGGATGAACCACTTGCGCAGGAACCCGCCCACCCCAGGCCCAGCCTCAGGTGGTACCAGAAGCGGGGAGGCGCGCTGGTCGGCACCTTGCCGCTGGTCAGGATACGCGAAGCGTGAACACTTTGATTTGTGTCGGCATTTCGGCCAACGCCCGTGTGGCCCGCTCCGAAAAACCAAATCCCCTTCGAACATGTAATCTCATGGGGCGTCATCTTTTCGTGCCGCCGCCTTCCGCCGACCCACTGCCGTCTTCCGCCAGCAGGGCCACCCTCGCTTCGCTTCCTCCAGCTTCCGCGGACGGACCTTTCGCCGAAGAAGAGATGCCGACTTGTCGATTCCCCAAGATCGAGGCAACTTCAGGATCGACCGATGTACGGTCACGTCCTTTCGCTTAGCCTGTCACGGCGACGGCCCCGGCGACACTTTTTTGGTCTGCGGGTCGAGAGCGAGCCTCTTCCGGTTAAGAGCTAGGCGGGCCGCGCAAAACACTAATTGGGGAGACAGGGCACAGGCGGGCGGGTGTTTACGGCCCTGGCGACACGCTATGCCCTGCAAGCGGACAGTGTCTCGCTCCGCTCCACAGGGCGAGGAGGCTCGGAAGAGCTCGGGACGTTGACAGTTGGGGGGCTGGGGCGCGGCTGGCGTGTCGCGCCGAAGCGCGGTGGGGGCCAGACCCTGCGGCGCAACACGCTGGGCCAAAGTTCCGGGCCGTGCCCAGGCGCAACACGCTGAGCCAAAGTTCCAGGCCGTGCCCAGGCACGTCCTCATTTCTCTCTCCCCCTGTCCCTGCGGCCTTCCGCTCCCTGTTGGTTCTGGGCACATCGGGTCTTTCGTCATGGGGTCGCCAAAGCAGATGCGATAGTTCATCCTGTGGCGCGTTGCGTGTGGCAGCCGCGTGCTGATATTGCACGGCGTGCGTGTCCCGCACGGACGATTGCACGAGCTATTGCGTACACTTTCGAGATCCCCTTTGCAAAGGACCCATTCGCCTGAGTCCGATCCTCCCCTCTGCCCCCATTCCTGAGGGGCAACGATAGAGGGGAACTGGCATAGGGCGGATGCATCGACCTGGAATCGGCGATACTTCGCCGATAGATCGGCGATAGGCCTCCGATCGTGCATCCGCACCTTCCTGGGCAGGTTGGGGCTATCGGGCCCCTATCGGCGATCAATGCGCGTTTGGGGGCCGATGCGTTCCCCCCCTATGCCTATCCCCCCCTATCGTTGCCCCTGATCTCCAGCACCCCGGGCCCTCCAGCATCGGCTGCTCCCCCCCAATGCCTCCGCTGCTCGCCCTCCTCCTCCCGCTGCCGCTGCTGCCGCTGCTGCCGGCCCTCCTCCACGCAGAAGGCCAGCTCGGCCCCGCGCGTGGGCCCCTCCAAGACGAAGCCGGGGCGAGGATGACAGCCGGTGAGGATCTTAGCCATCCCGATACGCAACACGCAACACGTATCGTATGGATACGGAGCTCAACGCGTAGGCTGAAAACGTAGGTCCGACGCGATACATTCGCCAAAACGTGGTCCAATACGTGGAGCCAATACGCAACGTATTGACACGGACGTCTTGAACAAGGGACGTATTGCGTTTCAAAACGCGCGTGTCGAGGCAACTAAGGTGAGGATACATCGAGAATCTCTGAGATCCGGCGGCTCTGGAGGATGTATCGGGCGCGCCTTCTCGGAGCTTCCCAGAGCGCTCTGAGAGCGTTCGGGGGCGCTCTGGAACGGCTTCATCCCCGTCCTAGCCCCGTCAGACCCTCTTCTTCAGAGGCATCCCGCGACGCTCGCGCGAGAGAGAGAGAGAGAGAGAGCACATGGCGCGGGCCACCCTCGAGGAGCGCTGGGGCCCGTGTCGCCCCGTGGTGCACCGCTGCCTGGGCCCCGCGCCACCCTCTCGGGCCCGGCCGCCGCCGAGGGCAACATGGTGGCGCCGCAACCCTGGCGAGCTCGCCGCACTGGCCGAAAAGCCGCAGCTGTCGCCGCCCACGGCGGGGCAGCGGAGTCGCCTTCGCCTTCGCGCGGGCGGGCCGACTGAGTGAGCCGGGCCCCGCGCGGGCGGCGCGCGACGCTCTAGGCACGCCCCGCTCGACGAGGGGCCCCGGGCGGCCAGGAGGCCGCAGCATCCACGAAGCCCTTGCGAAGTGTCACGAGTTCGGCGGGGCCGGATGCGCCGCGAGTGGGCCAGCAGTCAGAAAAGGACGAGACAAGGAAGTCGCTAGCGCCAGCAGGGGAAGTGATGCGGGTGCGGGCGGCGTCAGGCAATGCAGAAAGCACAGCGAAGGCGGCGGCAACTTGGAGATGGCGCTCCGCGTTGGATGCCGGCGCTCACCGACCACGCCAAAATCCGAGTGGGATGCCCTCGCTGGCGATTTAGCAGTCGGTCGCGCCTGAGCCATGCAAGCGCGCAAAGGTCAAGTCAATCTCTACTGGCGACGGCAACCGCTTTGACCGAAGGTCGCTGTGGGCCCGGTGGAACTCAACATGCCCAAAACTATCCCCAACATCCTGACAACTGCCCGACAGGAACACTTTGCGTGCTGCGAAGGGTAGGACTGGCGGGTCGCGGGGGCGGGGATGGCCGAGCAAGCGTCGCCGGAAGCCTCCATGCGATCGCTCGGAAGGGAGAGAGCGCAGCGGCGAGCGGCAAGAAGCTCGCCCGGCCTCGGGAAGAAGTGAGGACCGGAAGCAGCGGAGCGGCCACTGCACGCCAGCCGCGCGCGAGGCACATCCCCGACAGAGCCCGAAGGGCACGGGGAAGCGGCGGCCGCAAGCACGGCGGCTCAGACAGTTTCCACTGCCGAGCCACATCCCAAGCTCCTTCCAGGAAAACCCTCCAGTGAGGGTGAGGTTGGGCTGCGCTCCAAACGTGGCATGCGCGATGAGGTACTGGGGCGAACACCCAGCATCGTGCAGCCACGCCCCGAAATCGTCAAAGACCCGAGCGAGAAGGATCCCGCCGCGATACCCCAAAGTGTCAGGAGCGATGCCCGCGTTTTCGGCCACCCGCAGCTCGAACGCGCAAAGCGACCGGTTGCGCCTGTCTACATGGGCGGGAGCGAGGTGAGAGTCGTAGACGAATGGGGTCAGATCGGCTCGCGGCTGCTAAGCCCGAGGCCTGATCCGTCGCTTGGTCTGGAAGCGCCGTCCGCCGTGGCACAGAGTCGCAAGCGCACCAGAAGGCGGCGGCGTGAATGGGGCTCTTCTCTGTGCTTGCGAACCGTGCCAGCTCGCCGCTGGCCTGTCGCCCGCCGCGAGGGGCATTGCAGCGGCGGGCGGGTCTCTCAGCCGTCGAGCTCGATGTCCAGCTCCTGCGCGACGCGAGCTCCGCGCGCATCGTGTTGAAGTCCTCCCTCGCGTGCTGCGCGACGCGCGTCTCGCGGAGGCTCAGGGCTCCGAGGGGGGCAGCTCGACGGTGGGCGCAGCACCCCGCCGCTGGTGCGGGGGGCCCAGCCCCGCTGGGTGCGACACCGAGACTGTGCGAGCGCAGACCCGGGGACGTGGCCCTCGCGAGCCACCGGGAGGAGGCTCGGCCTCCTGGGTGCTCGCGTGCCAGGCGAGGCCGAGGAGGCAGGCCAGGGGCGCCGCCCGGCTCCCTGTCACGGGCTGCGCTGCCGAGCCCGACGCTTCGGGTCGCTCCTGCAGCTGGCGGCGCCAACTCCTTGTGGGGCTCGGTCGGCGAGGACCTCGCCACTCACAATCGAGAGCCAGGAGGGGCATCGTCCGCGTGAGCGACCCCGCCCGCGCGGACTCGGTGAGGGTGCGCCCCCGGGGCGCGCCTCCTTGGCAGGCAGGAGTGCTGCGCGCGCCATGTGAGGTGCTCAAACACCTCCCAAGTTCCCAGTTCAGAAGATCCCGCGCCGCAGTGAGCGTCTCCCCCCCCCGACCCCGACGTGCCGTCCGAGCCTCGACCCAGCGCCCGTCGGCAGCTCAGGGGGCGACGACGCGACGCGAGGCCTGCTGTTGGCAGCTTGGCAGCTGCCGCGGCAAGCGCCATCTCGGCCCGCGCGGGGGCGGACGGCCCTGAATCGCCTGCGCGAGCCGCGCGGCTGCCACGCCTCTCCCGAACGAGCCGAGGGCGCGGATCCGCCTCCCCAGCGGCGTGTGCCCTCCCCTGCGCCGCCGAAGCAGCCTCTGGCCGGATGGGCCCGTGTCGTCTGAGAGGGGTCGGAAGAAGCGGCAGGGCCAAGCGCAGCTGCCTGGGAGGAGACATCCATGGCTGGCGAGGGAGCGGATCCCAGGCCGCGCTGCCTGCCCTGGAGATCGACAAGCAATTCCCTGCCCCGCTCGGCGATCACCCTTGCGTGGGCGCTGCCGGCCTCGGCGCGCTCGGCAGCTTCGACTGTCCGGGCGACGCGCTCGCGGAGGCGGGCGCGGACGTCCTGGCAACGACCCCGCTGCGTGGCGTTCGCCGCCACGGCGCGCGGGTCGAAAGCAGGCCGCGCGGGCGAGGCGCCGCGCGCGCCGTTGCCGCAAACGAAGCGGCGGCGTGCGGTGTCGCGGGGCCATTCCGCGCCTGGCTGCTCTCAGCCCAGCAGCGCGGCTCAGGGGCGCTGGCTCAAGCCTCGCTGACCCGGTCCCCGGCAGGCGCGCCTCTGGTGGCGGTGCGGCGGAGCCCGCGGCCAGCCGCCATCGAGGGGGCGTCACTGAGGGCGGAGCAGTCCCGCCCCGCTCGCAACGCCGCAGGAGACCTCCTAGCGGGGAGCGCGGAGCCGGCGGAGACGGTGGCTGGCCGTGCTCAGGGCCCAGCTCAAGTGGCCTGCTGAGTGGTGCCAGTCTGTGACCGCGGGTCCATCGTAGCGCGTGGCGCGGCCTTCGCTGGTGGGCGGCCCGCGTGTGCGCAAGGGGTGCTGCGAGTGAACCTTCCACGACCCACGGCAGCGAGGTCGGGTTCGCGAAAGCACCTCGCCGAGGGGCGAACCCCGCGCAGGTAGCCCGCTGCGCAGGCGCTGCAGTTGCACCCAGCGCAGCAGCACGCAACGGCGGTCAGTCCAAGGGAGGGAGGGCGGCGGCCGCGCGGATCCGCGAGATCGGCAGCCCGCTGCTCAGATCGTCCGCCAGCCTGGGGCAAGCGGTGAGTGCCCGCGCGGGAGACGGGTTGAGGGGGCAAGTGCGCCCCCCCGAACCTGAAGGCCCACGAAGGAGAGAACGGCGAATCCTCGAGGGAATAATGACCAGAAGTGGGGGCTGCCCTCGAAAACTGCGCGAGTGCGGGAGGAGCATCCTCGGCGCCGCCATTGGGCCGAGACGCTGCACAAGCCTGCGGGGGCGGGCGCGGCGGGGATAATAAGGGTCAGGAGGTTGAGGAGGAGATCCTCAATCCTCCCTCTTCTCGCCTCCTCCCTCGTCTTCCTCCTCCTCCTCCTCCTCCACCTCCTCCTCCTCTTCCGCAGCTGCTGGGAAGAGCATCCCTAGGCGAGGGAAGTCTGCAAGAAAACCCGCGAGAGAGCTCCCCGAAGCGTCTCGGCGCGAAGCGAGGACAGCGAGCAGTTTTTGGCGGAATGGAGGAGGAGGAGGAGAAGGAGGAGGAGGAGGAGGAGGAGGAGGAGGAGGAGGAGGACGAGGAGGAGGAGGACGAGGAGGAGGAGGAGGAAGAGGAGGAGGAGGAGGAGGAGGAGGGAGGACGCCCCCCCACTGGCCCCGGCGGCGGCGGCCTCGGCTTTTGCGCGCCGGCGGCCCGCGGAGCCGGTGGGGCCGCGGGGAAGAGGCGCCCGTGGTTGGCCTTGTAGAGCGCGTCCGCGCCAGCCTTCTGCGGGCGCGGCTCGGTCGGGCCTCGTCGCGGTGGTCGTGCCGTGGTCGTTGTGGTGGTCATCGCGGTGGTCGTCGTGGTGGTCGTCATGGTGGTTGTCGTCGTGGTCATCGAAATCGTCGTCGTCGTCGTCGCCGTCCAGCCAGACAAGCCAGCTCCATTCAGGGGCACCCGTGCCGTCCTCGTTCCTCTCCTCTCTCGCCTTGCAAGACGAAGGAGCGAGGGGCGGGAACCATCCCAGGTCCTCTCCCCTCCACTCTTCGCCGCGTGGGCGCGGCAGGGAGGGAGCCCGGGGCAACCCTCACTGCTTTGCCCGATCCGTATCTCCTGGCAGGGATGAGGGCACTTGCCCTGCACTGTGTCAGCGCAGCCCCGCGCTATCCCACATCCCAGGTCTTCCTGCTGAGTGGGTACGACGTAACCTGCAACGAGAAGGAAGGTGGATGAAGTGAAACTCGTCTGGGGAGCATTGCAGCATCTCAGTAACAAGGCCTGCCTAGTCGAGCACGCTGAAGGTGTGGCAACTTCGGTCGCATGTCCGCCCCCAACACACACGAGGAAACGCTGCTGCTCAACTGCGCTCGCACGCAGCAGCGGGGCCTCACATGCATCCACCGGGCTTCGAAGTGCTGTGGACGCCGACGTCCCAAAATAAACAACAACGATTACCAAATCAATCGTTCCTCACGGGGATCCCAACGTGTTCTGTCCGTGCAAAAAAAAACCGGTAGCAATATGCAGGAGCTCCAGGCCGGGACCCTGAGGGATGCCCCCCTCCTGCCTCGAAGCTGTCCCTTATGAGAAAACCGCGCGATGCAGTGCACATGCATTGCCGTGTGAAGCAGCGAGCTGCGTAAAAGACAAGTAAGTGCGATCTAAAGCACTACACAGCGATGAGAAGCAATGCAACATCAAGCAAACCAACGAGACTAAATGCAAGGATCGGCAATGCAATCCAGCGAAACGCAACACATAACGACAGTGCGATAGGTAACTATCAATGATATGCATTGCAACATGATGTCAATCATAATGCTTTAGCGCGAAGCGCGCGAAACAATGCCCCAACGTTTGACAATTCGCTCCCCTTCTACCTCGGAAGGCAAAACCACTTCTCCATGCTTTTTAAACGTCCGTCGTGATGGGATTCGTTGCAGAAACGCACTCCAGCGGGCGTATCTGGTACAATATCATGAAGACGAGCCCCTGAGTCTCTGATGGCGGGAGTCAACATGCCCGATTCTTCCCCCAGGCCAGGTCGAACCTCACGAATCTTTCGAAGTCGACTATTCTGTAGCATGGGGAGAACATGAAGAAGGGCCACCTCAATTAGAGAGCTAATGTTGCTCGTCATCGTCATTCTCCCGAGGACTGATCGACAACACACGCTTCGAGGGCCCATGCGGACACCTGCATGACACTGTCTCCGTGCCCTTCGATAAGGGCCCAGACGGACACGGGAACATCATGCGAGGCAGGCCAGCCCCGCGACTAGTTGACATCCTCGAGGACCTGTCTTTTTCGCAGCTCACGCGATTGTGAACTTTTTTTTATTCGTCGTTTCGACATTGGGCGGAAGGGGGGGGAGGGGGGGGGATCTGGCTCGGAACCTCTGCTTGGTGCGACTGCTTGGGACCGCGCGTCCCATGGGGGAGACTCCACCTGCTCGAAACAGGCGCCAAGAACAGCCAAGATCTACTCCACGGGGGGGGGGAGGGGGGGGGGCGAAGGCCCGCGCCGATCGGCAAAACAATGAATAAACAACGATCACATACCGAAAGGATGGGCGAGAGAGGATCAGCTCTTTTTTTTCTCTGCAGCCTAGCGGTTGCGCGCCAGGCACCAGCCTCAAGGCCTGCTCGGCTGCTTCTGGGCCGAAGCCCTACTGACTGTGAGAGCCACGATGGAGAACCGACAGGAGCGAACATTTAGTGAACACGCCGGGGAGGGGGGGGGGGTGCGAGGGCCCGCGCCGATCGGCAAAAGAAGGTATACATGATACCAGAGGGAAACCCCAATCAGAATCTGTTTTGGGCCTGCGGGGCTGTAGGGCTATAGGGCTATGGGGCTATGGGGCTATAGGGCTGCAAGGTTATGGGGCTATAGGCTTATTGGGCTATTGGTCTATAGGGCTATAGCGCTATAGGGCTAGATGACTTGAGGGCAATAGGGCTAACGGGCTGGAGGGCTATAGGGCTATAGAGCTATAGGGGCATATGGCTATAGGGCTATAGGGCTACAAGGCTGTAGGGCTATAGGGCTAGAGGGCCATAGGGCTAGACAACTATAGGGCTATAGGGCTAGAGGTAACGGAAAGAGCGAGGTACGAGTGAGGACGTTCTGGTGTGGGCGAAGCCCTAAAGGGAGGGGGTCCAGGGGAGGGGGGTAGCGTGCGCATTTGAGTGTTAATGGCCGTTTTCGGGTTTTCCCTCGGGTTTTTGCATGTTTTTCGGGTTCCCCCCCAAGGCGGCCCAAGAGCGCTCCAAGAGAGCCCAAGACCGCCCAAGACGGCCCAAGAAGCTCCCAAGAGGCCCCCAAGAGGCGCCCAAGGGGCGTCCCAAGAGGGCCCCAAGAGGCCGAAATCATAGATTTTCCAAGAAGGAAAACGTATATTTTTAGCATATGCGCTTTGTCGGCTTTCACGGCGTTGACGACGGCCCAAGAGGCCCCCAAGACCGCCCCAAGACGGCCCAAGAGGCTCCCAAGAGGCCCCCAAAACGGCCCAAGAGGGCCCCAAGACGGCCCAAGAGGCGCTCAAGACGGCCCAAGAGGGCGCCAAGACGGCCCCAAGAGGGGGACCACGAACCGAAAAGTCTAGCCTTTCGCCCCAAGACGCTCCCAGGAGGCCCCCAGAGCCCCCCAAGAAGCCCCAAGAGGCCCCCAAGAGGCGTCCCAAGAGGCCACCGGGAGGCGAAAATCATTGATTTCCTATGGGAAACATGTACATTTTAGCATACAAGGCTTTTCGGCTTTCACTGCGTTGAAGACGCTCCAAGGGGCCCCCAAGACCGCCCCAAGACGGCCCAAGGGGCTCCCAAGAGGCCCCCCAAACGGCCCAAGACGGCCCCAAGACGGCCCAAGAGGCGCCCAAGACGGCCCAAGAGGGCCCCAAGAGGGGGACCACGGACCGAACAGTCTAGCCTTTCGCCACAAGAAGCTCCCAGGAGGCCCCCAGAGCTTCCCAAAAAGCCCTAAGAGGCCCCCAAGAGGTTCCCAAGAGGCCTCCAAACGGGCCCGACAAGGGCCCAATAGGACTCCCAAGAAGGCCCAGAGACGCCAAATAGAGAGCGATCGGCAACGCAAAAAGCTCTTCACACCAAGGCTCCTAAGAGCGAGCGGTGACGTAAACAAGCTGATAAGACCAAGGCTCCCAGCAGAGAGCGGTGACGTAACAAGTTCCTGACACCAAGGCCCAGCCAAGGCTCAGGAACGGGCGGCAACGCAACAATCTCTGAACACCAACGCTCCCAAGAGCGAGGGGTGACGTAACAAGCTCTCAACGCCAAGGCTCCCAATACGAACGGTGGTGTGAGTAATTTCGGTTTCTGTTTCTGAAACGCTCTTTCCGTTTCTGTGCCAGGCCAGGTAGCGGAAAGAGCGAGGTACGAGTGATGACGTTCCGGTGTGGGCGAAGCCCTAAAGGGAGGGGTTCCAGGGGAGGGGGGAAGCGTGCGCATTTGGGTGTTAATGGCCGTTTTCGGGTTTTCCCTCGGGTTTTTGCATGTTTTTCGGGTTCCCCCCCAAGACGGCCCAAGAGCGCTCCAAGAGAGCCCAAGACCGCCCAAGACGGCCCAAGAGGCCCCCAAGAGGCTCCCAAGAGGCGCCCAAGGGGAGTCCCAAGAGGGCCCCAAGAGGCCGAAATCATAGAGTTTCCAGAAAGGAAAACGTACGTAGATTTTTAGCATATGCGCTTTGTCGGCTTTCACGGCGTTGACGACGGCCCAAGAGGCCCCCAAGACCGCCTCAAGACGGCCCAAGAGGCTCCCAAGAGGCCCCCCAAACGGCCCAAGAGGGCCCCAAGACGGCCCAAGAGGCGCCCAAGACGGCCCAAGAGGGCCCCAAGACGGCCCCAAGAGGGGGACCACGGACCGAAAAGTCTAGCCTTTCGCTCCAAGAAGTTCCCAGGAGGCCCTCAGAGCCCCCCAAGAAGCCCCAAGAGGCCCCCAAAAGGGCCCCCAAAGGGCCCAAATAGGACTCCCAAGAAGGCCCAGAGACGCCAAATAGAGAGCGATCGGCAACGCAAAAAGCTCTTCACACCAAGGCTCCCAAGAGCGAACGGTGACGTAAACAAGCTGATAAGACCAAGGCTCCCAGCAGAGAGCGGTGACGTAACAAGTTCCTGACACCAAGGCCCAGCCAAGGCTCAGGAACGGGCGGCAACGCAACAATCTCTGAACACCAACGCTCCCAGGAGCGAGGGGTGACGTAACAAGCTCTCAACGCCAAGGCTCCCAGTACGAACGATGGTGTGAGTACTTTCGGTTCATTTGTTTGAGGCGCTCTTTCCGTTTCCGTGCCGGGCCAGCTCTACTGGGTGAGAGGGCTATAGGGCTATAGGGCGATATGGCTAGAGGGCTATAGGGCTGTAGGGCTAGAGGTCTAGAGGGCGAGAGGGCTATAGGCCTATAGGGCTATAGGGCGATAGGGCTGGAGCGCTAGAGGGCTGTAGGGCTACAGGGCTGTAAGGCTATTGGGCTACAAGGCTGTATGGCTGTAGTGCTTTAGGGCTATCGGGCTATAGGGCTGTATGGCTATAGGGCTATAGGGCTGTAGGGCCATAGGGCTAGAGGGCTATAGTGCTATAGGGCTATAAGGCTATAGGGCTAGAGGGCTATAGGGCTAGAGGGCAGTAGGGCTACAAGGCTATACGAATATAGGGCTAGAGGGCTATAGGGCTGGAGGACTGTAGGGCTATAGGGCTCTAGAGTTATTGGGCTATATGGCTATATGGCTGTAGGGCTATAGGGCCAGAGAACTACAGGGCAAGAGGGCTATATGGCTATAGGGCTATAAGGGGTAGAGGGCTAGAGGGCTATATGGCAATAGGGCTACAAGACTATAGGGTTATAGAGCTATAGGGCGATTGGGTCATAAGGCTATAGGGCTATAGGGCTTTCGGGCTGTAGGGCTATAGGGCTGTAGGGCTATAGGGCTCCAGGGCCATAGGGCTAGAAGGCTATGGGGCTACAGGGTAAGAGGGCTATAGGGCTATAGGGCTATAGGGCTAGAGCGGTAGAGGGCTAGAGCGCTAGAGGGCTGTAGGGCTATGGGGCTAGAGTGTAGGGCTGTAGGGTTATCGGGCTATCCGGCTATAGGTCTATAGGGCTATAGGGCTATAGGGCTGTAGGGCTATAGGGCTATAGGGTTATAGGGCTATAGGGCTTTCGGGCTATTAGACTAGAGGGCACGAGGGCTAGAGGACTACAGGGCTGTAGGGCTGCAGAGCTATTGGGCTATATGGCCATAGGGCTGTAGGGCTATAGGGCTGTAGGGCTATGGGGCACCCAAGCACCCGAGCGTGCCGCCGAAATCGGCGACGCAACTCCCGGGCACCCGGGCACCCCGGGCACCCGGGCGGGCCGCCGAAATCGGCGGCGCAACTAACCCAACCATATGAATCCGCTGGGACCCCTACAGAGGCAAGCTCTGATTGGGGAACAAACGCTCACAAATTTACCTCGGCCTGAGAAGCGGCCCTCGTGCGGTTCGTCCCCGGGGAGCCCCACGGGGGGGGGGGGGGAGGGGAGGGGTCTGTGTGCGAGGGCTCGCGCCGATCGGCAAAAGAAGGAATAAAGAAGCGCTCACAAATTCACCTCGGCCTGCGAAGCGGCCATCGCGCGGCTCGTTCCTGGGGAGCCCCTGCGACGGTCCCCCCCCCGCCCATATTTAAGGGGCCCAGGGACACACACACACATAAATACACACAAATCCAAGGATCCCACATGTTTTTCAATACTTTTTGGATTTTCGTCTTCCCCCCCACTTCCAATTTTTCCTTGTGTTTTTTAAGGAATAGATAATTTATTGTGTCTGTGCGTGCGTGCGTGCGTGCGTGCGTGCGTGCGTGCGTGTGCGTGCGTGCGTGCGTGCGTGTGCGTGTGTGTGTGTGTGTGTGTGTGTGTGTGTGTGTGTGTGTGTGTGTGTGTGCGTGCGTGCGTGCGTGCGTGCGTGCGTGCGTGCGTGCGTGTGTGTGTGTGTGTGTGTGTGTGTGTGTGTGTGTGTGTTTTCCCCTGCCCATATGCCATCCTCGCGCCCCTGCTGCAACCCCTGCCTGCCCTCTCCACCTTCTCTCGGGCTCGCGCCATCATTAGGTCGGGCATGTCCCCCTACAGGTGGAATTTTGAGGACAAATGAAAACTACTCAGAACAGATTCAAAGATAATCCAAACATGCTAGTTCGACCATTTTCGAATATTCCTCCTGTAGGTGGACACGCCCAACTTGAGATGACGGATCCGTGGATCGGCCGCGCGGGCGCCAGATCCACGGATCGGGGCTCGTCTCCTCCAAGAACACGAGGCCAACGTCGCCATGAATTGGCGACGGAGCGTGCCGGCCTTGTGTGGAAGCGGGACCCGTCGCTAACCCACGCGCTCCTCCTCCTCCTCCTCCTCCTCCTCCTCCTGCTCGATGCGCTTGCCGTCGCCATCCGCCCGCACCCCCTCTCGGAGCGGGGCAGGCGAGCCGAGCTGCTGGCAGCCCCCGGGGGGCCTGCGTCCTGCACAGCACGACCTCGGCGGCGAGCGGGCCAGGGCCGCCGGGGCCAACCAATCAATCGCTGAGGGGAGGGGGGGGGAAGTGTTTGGGATTCGAGGTTTTCGGGCATATTCTTAGGTTTCCGGCGGTTCTTCAGCTTCGGGGCACTTTCCAGCAGCTGCGTCCCGACGAGAGCGTTCCAGGGTGCCCAGACCGTCCCGTACGGCCGCTGGAGACCCGGATTACGACCCGAAAGCCAAACTCCGCGGGGCGCCGAGGGGGGAAGCGAGAGGGGGCAGGCCTTCTCAGAAGGCTCTCTGGAGCCATCTGGCCTTCTGAGAGGCCCTCTGCGGCCTCGGAGAGGGCTTGGGAAGCTGCTCGAGGAGGAGGAGGAAGCAGGAGAGGCTCAGACGGTCGCCGGGGTTGCAATCCCACCAGCTCTTTCGGTGCTGAGGTTGTCCAAGGCGTTTCCTCTTCCGACCCCCCTCTTCCACTTCGGGGAGGAATTTGCATATCTCCTTCCTAGCACTCACTCGTTACCCACTCTGCCAGCCCGTAGCCAAGGCCAATGCCGACCCACCCACCGTCCTTGTAATAATACCATACAAAAGGAGCATTGCGGCAAATCTGGGTTGTATTGCAGCGTTGTGTTTGCATCCCCAGATGATCCGACCGATGATTCCTTTACTCTGGCATAACACAACAACAATCAAGGAACCGCAGCATAGTACGTAACACATGGTAGGAACGTGCCGCTTCCCTAATGCGTCACAGCGGGGGGTCACAAGGAAGAAGCGCAATGCAAACACTTTTTGGAGAAGCAGGACAGGGTGTGGCCCCTATATAATGTCTGGTTCTGTCCTGAAGCAAAGTGCATTTGAACAACGACAGGCTTGTGCTTCCAAGCAAGTTGCAAGATGTGCTCATGTCTCTCCAACATTGTGTTTCTGCATGGGGCTCCTCGCATCGTAAGGTCCTGAAGAGAAACATGCAATCACACATCGTCTCAGTCCAATCCCGTTTTGCGATTACGAGGCCAAATCTTAATCAGACCGTTGACGTGATTTCCCACATGCATCCGATTCCACAATGCAAACCGACAGTGCTAAGGTCAGGAGCTTTTGCGTAGCGTGTCGCAGCGGCGGCCCCTGCGACACGCTGTGCCTTGCAAACTGATCGCGTGCCGCTCCTCTTGGTGGAGCGGGAGGCTGGGAAAAGCTCGGGGCGCTGATGCCCGGGGATTGGGACGCGGTTCGCGTGTCGCGCCGAAGCCTGGCGGGCCAGAGCAAGCGCTGCGACACGCGAGCAGACGTGCCTGACCGCACTGCCTTTCCAGCGGGCGCTCGGCGCAGCGCAACTAGCCCGAGCCCCACACGCGCGGATAAGAGCGATGGGGCGGGAGGCTGTGGGGCTGCCCTGCGGCGGGCTGCGGGGCTTGAGAGCGCCAATGTGAAGAAGCCATGCGGAGGCGCTGGCCTGTTCGAAACGGCCAGCTCGCCGCTGGGGACGAGTGCCGGGGCAAGCAGTGCGGTTGGGTGGGTGGCGGGGCTCACAAGCCAACGCAACCAAGGCCCGCGGCATGCGCTTCCTTTCGACAAGACCATCCCGCCGCAAGCGGCGATATTCTTGCAGAACAAGTTGGGTGGGTTGCGGATGCGGGTCACAGACTGGGTCTCGGGACGAGGTCGACGAACAACTGGGAAACCCGCGTCAGCCACGCACCCAGGGACAGTTTAAGACAGTTCGACGCCCTCACTCTGACCACCGGCGTTGGACTATGAATAGGGGACTTCGGACGGGAGGGTGCGTTGCAACATCAGTGGTGTGTGCTGGACTTATTCTGGTCCTCCTCCTCCGCCCTCCTCCTTCGTCCTCCTTCTCCTCTTACTCTCTCACGGGGGAGGCGAAGCGAGGTGAGGCGAGCGCGCGACGTCGGTCCGGCGGGACCAGTCCTCAGAGGGCACGGGAGGGGAGGGGAGGGGAGGAAGGGGAAGCGAGGGGAGGGGAGGGGAGGGACACGGAGGGGGGGGGGGAGGGAAGAGGAAGGGCGAGGGGAGGGGAGGGATACGGAGGGGGGATGGAAGGGGGAGAGTCAAGGAAGGCAGGGTTGGGGCTCCGCTCGAGACCCGTCCCCTGGGCTGTCCTCGGGCACGTTCCTGTGAGCACTCCGAGGTGGATCCAGCCGTGGGCAGCGAGGGCGCCCCGGGAGGCCTCCCGAGCTGCTCCGAGCTCTTCCAACGCTTCAGACGCCTACGACCGTCGATCGAGGGGAGCGGGCGATCGCGGCGGGTTCGGGTGGCGATGGCCCCAGCGATGGTTTCTGACACCGCGCAGATTGTTCAAGCTTAAGCGATGGCGGTTCCCCAATGGCGCAGATCGTCCGACGCCCGCCGATTCTGTGCCCTCTGGCGGCGTTCCACCTCGAGAGCCCGCGCTGGGGTCGCCGCCGCTTCGACACGACACGAACCTACAGCAACTCCTTCTCCTCCCCCTGCCGAACTGCCGAACTGAAGGCGCTAGTGTCGGTCGGACGCCCTCCTCCTCCTCCTCCTCCTCACCCTCCCCCTTCCCCTCCTCCTCCTCCTCCTCCTCCTTCTTCTGATCCTTCTTCTCCTCTTGCTCCTCCTGCTCCTCCTGCTCCTCCTCCTCCTCCTCCTCCTCCTCCTCCTCCTCCTCCTCCTCCTCCTCCTCCTCCCCCTCCTCCTCCTCCTCCTCTCCTCCTCCCTCCTCCTCCTCCTCCTCCTCCTCTCCTCCTCCTCCTCCTCCTCCTCTCCTCCTCCTCCTCCCCCTCCTCCTCCTCCTCTCCTGAAGGGGAACGTTCGGGGGGCGACTTAAGCGGGGGAAGGGTAGCATCTAGCTGGAATCAGCGATACATCGCCGATAAGTCGGCGATGGGCTCCCGATGGCGAATCCGCAAGTTCCTGGACGGGTGGGGCTATCGGGCCCCTATCGGCGATGAGTGGGCGACTGGGGGTCGATACGACGACGACGACGACGACGACGACGACGACGACGACGACGACGACGACGACGACGACGACGACGACGACGACGACGACGACGACGACGACGACGACGACGACGACGACGACGACGACGACGACGACGACGACGACGACGACGACGACGACGACGACGACGACGACGACGACGACGACGACGACGACGACGACGACGACGACGACGACGACCCCCCTGAGCCTACCCCCCCTGACGTTGCCCTGAATTTTCGGGTCATAACTCGAATCTCGGCGGCCGTTCGGGGCAATCCGGGCACCACCTGAACGCTCTCGGCGAGGCGTAGCCGCTGAAGAGCACCCTGAGGCTGGAGAACCGCCGAGAACCGACGAAAACACCCGAAAACCGCCGACGTGGAGCCCATCCCCTCCTCGCGCTGCCCCCGATCTCTGCAAGCTCTGAGGGCCCCGCGACGGAATAGAAGCTACCGGACGCCCCCCCGGGCTCCAGCTCTGCTGCGGCGGCCGACGTGGACGCTCCCGACCAGGAGCTGCCCGAGGTGCAGCCTGCTCGGCCCTTCCCTGGGAGGCCCCCCCTGCCCTCCGCAGAAGATCGGAGGGCCAATCGCTTCGCGCTTCGCTTCGGCCGGGACGCGAATTCAGGCGGCCTTGGGTCTTTGGAGGCGCCGTCTACAGTGGCGCGGGGTCTCCAGAGGCCTCTGGAGGCCCACGGAAAAGGGCCGAGGACCTACCAGGAAGCTGGGTGCACTGGGCGAGAGCTGGATACACCTTTTACCATCCAGACAGGCCCTGTGGCAGAGGAGGGAGAAGAAGGCGAGGGGGTGAAAGGGGGGCGGGAGGGCGGGAAGCGGGAAGGCTGGGCGCGCGGCACGCATGCTGGCAGCTTGCACCTGATTGGCCAAGTGCCCCTGGGCCAGCGTCCGAGCGAGCCTCCACCAAAACGGACCGCGGAGCCGCCTCCGCGCCGCCCGCGCGCGCTGCTGGAAGCGGGAGCCAGCCCGCTAGCGCCGCGGCGGCAGCGCCGCCCCCCCCCCCCCCCCTCTCCGCAAGGGCGGTTTTGGCCAGGAGCTCCCGGCAGGGCGCCCAGCACCCGCAGCGCACGCACGCCAGGCGCCGCTGGCGCTGAGCGCGCGGGCCGCGGCGCCGCCCCGCTCGCCTGGCGGCCGCAGCCGCCAGGGCCGCGTCGCCGCCTGCGCGGGGCTCGCGGCGCCGCGGCCCTGGCGCGGCGGCGCCTGGCCAGAGCTGCCGTGGTGGGCCCTGGGTGCCCCAGGCACGCCCCGCGCGCGCACGGCCCTCGTGTGGCCAGGCACGGAGGCCCACCCGGGCGCTTCTCGCCCTGCTCGGGCTCCCCAGCGGCTCGCCGCCGCGGCTGGATCCGCCTCGACAAGCGTCCGCTGGCGGATTCTGAGCGGACTTGGGCTGGGAGGGAGGGCCCGTCTCAACAGGCCCTCCTCTGAAGAGAGCGATCAACGGCACATGCTAGGCCCGTATCGTGACGACCACGGTGTTGGCTTCTGACACCGCGGTGGATCGCCCAGCCTTGAGCCATCGGCGTCTCTTCGACCGCCAGATCGCTCCGTTCTGGCCGATCCTGGGCCGCTGGTGGCGCTCAGCCTTGGACGCCCGCGGCGGAGCTTGCCGCCGCGCTTGCACGACGCGGACCTGCCGCCAGCAGACGGCCTCGGCGGTCCGCGCGGAGCTCTCGGGTCGGCGCCAGGCCCCCTCCTCTGGCTAGCGGAGCGCGCTGGCGGGCGGCACTGGAGACCCCCCGCCCGGGGGGCTCCCGCGCCGACGCACGACTCCCGCGCGGAGCACCCCTCCAGAGCATGCGACCCTCCGCCGGCCACAGCACACACAACGTCTAAGGGCACCCTACCCAGGATGCACAAGAGCATCTGGTCAACACGAAGAACACCAGGGTACCCTCCCCGAACCGACCTCGATCTCATACCTCGGTCCGACTGTAGCGTTTGCTTACAGTCAGCGTGCTAACATAGGAACGCCGAATCAAGCGGCTTTGCTGGCCACGGCAAGCCTAGGCGACAGTCGGGCTTGATTGGAGAGGACCCGCGACACAAGACCCTTCCGAAGGCTACATTGCCATAGGAATGTAAAGGGCACGGGCCTCTCAGGACAGGACACAAGGGTACCCTTGCCTTGGCAGGGTCGACCTACTAAGTAATCAAGGCCGACTGTGCAAACAGGTTTCCCCACTCTAGACTTACGGAGTGGCCCTGAAAACTGCAGCTCCTCCTGAACCCAATGTGGCCCTTGTCTCAACAGCTTAGACTGTATCTCCCCCCCACCATCCGCGCCACGCATTCACCCATGCCCGCCCCCTGGGAGACGGCCCCCCCACCCCCCGAGGGCCTCGCGGAGCGCTGGTGCTGGATGTGGATCTTTCCCACCCTCAGGGGGCGGGAATGTGTCTACGGTCAGGAGCTCCTTGCTTAGCCTGTCTCGTCGGAGGCCCCGGCGACACGCTGTGCCCTGCAAGCAAATGGCGCGTCGCTCGGCTCCGCGGGGCGGGAGGCTGGGAAAGGCTCGTGACGCTGACGCTTTGTGACCGTTCTGCGGCAACCCAGGGGAGCCTCCCAATTCATCTTGCCGGCCCTTGCGAATTCACGCTGACCGACGCCAGGCGACACTAATCGACGCGAATCGACGCTACGTCGACGCTAACCGAAGCTAAATCGGCGCATCCTCATCGATTAGCAGACGCTAGCGCACGCTCATGCACTCTAGAGACGGAGCTCCGCGGACACGAGAGCTCCCACGAGTTGCCACCGAAGGACTGGGGCGCGGTCAGCGTGTCGCGCCCAAGCGTGGTGGGCCAGAACCAGCGGCGCGACACGCTGAACACACGCTCTTGACCGCATGCGCATCCAACTCTCCGCCGGATCCTCCCGCGCACGTCTCCGACTCGGCGGCTGTGGATCAATCCCGGCGTGGATCCCCCAGCCCCTCCTCGGGGGAGTCCCGAGAGGGGGGCGTCCCAGGAGGGGGGGTCGCAAGTCATGGCCCAAGGCATGTGCGCGGACGAAGGGGCCCAGGGGGCGTGATGAAGTGGGACGGGGTGGCTATGAATCCGGAGAGGCAGCGTGGCCCCTGCCATGAGATCCCCCCCCCGGTCACCACCCCCCTCTTGGACTACGCCGACCTCCCTACGAGGAGGCCAGGGCCAGGACAGAATCGGACTGGGGCAAATTCAGGATCCCTGAGGTGCAGCAACTTTGGCAGGATGGTATCGGGCGCCGCGGCCGCTCGAGAGCGTCCCAGAACGCTCCGAGGGCGCCGTGGAACGTTCTGGTCAGGCGCGCGCAAACACGGACTGGGGGGGATGTGGGTCCCGTGCGCAGTCGCCAGATCCATGGATCGGGGAAGGCACCCCCGAGAAAACGGCGCCAGTGCCCCCCGACCTGGCGACGGAGCGCGCCGACTCTGCACGGAAGCGGGGCCCGTCGCTGATCTTAGCTCGCGCACTTTCCCCTGCAGGCGGAGTTTGGACGGAACATGAGGATGGTCAACAAAATCGTCCAGCGCCACAAACCGCGCCACCAGTTTGAATCGTTAGCGCGGATCCAAGGAATCCGCGCGGAGCGCCACAAGTTTATGCTTACGGCGTCTTCCCTTCTTCGAGTGCAGAGCCTCCAGGCCGCGGCTGGTAAGGCTTCGGGTTGCGCACCGACAGCCTCCCCCCCCCAGGTAGTCCCGGCTGGCCTTAGGTCGGGCATGTCCTCCTACAGGCGGATTTTGGAGGAAAAATGACGAATCATCAAACAGCGCCCCAAACTAGTCCAAAACAGCAAACAAATCGTCCCCAGCCTGTTTTTTGACTGCTCTTGAATGTTCCTCCCGTAGAGGGACACGCCCGACTTCAGGCTGGCCTCGCCAGGCATTCCGAGCAGTCCCAGCTGGCTCCCGCAGGCCCCCCCCGAGCAGCACAAGCCCTGGGCTATCCTCGGGGGGGCCTGTGGAGGCCAAGCGGGACCGCCCGGGGGGGGGGGGGGGGGGCTGCCCGGGAGGGCAACCCAAAGCCTTCCCAGCCGAGGCCAGCGGGGTCTGTCTACAGTAAGGTCGGGCATGTCCCCCAACGGGGGGATTTTGGACGAAAAATGAAGAAATAGTCAAACAGTATTCAAACCATAGCCGACACATCGTTCCCAGACTATTTTTTGACAATTTTTGAATCTTCCTCCCGTAGAGGGACACGCCCGACTTTAGGCCAGTCCACATGAAAACTTCCACAAGAAACCCAACCATGAGACCTCAGAACGTCCATCGATTTTTGGTGTGGGGACGTCACGCTTTCCATGGCACACCCATCGGAACCCAAGCAACACAGGGCACCCTGGAGGCAAGCAGGGTGTTTTTCTTGGCATGGGCCTCCACTGTGTGCACCATCCTGCGGCTCCGGGCGGCCCTAGCCAGGCACAGTGGCGGTGCAAAGGCGCCCTCTGCAGCTCTGGCGGATGCTTCGGGGGCAACGGAGCAGCGGGTGAGAGCTGCTGTGGACGGCCACCGAGGAGGAGGAGGAGGAGGAGGAGGAGGAGGAGGAGGAGGAGGAGGAGGAGGAGGAGGAGGAGGAGGAGGAGGAGGAGGAGGAGGAGGAGGAGGAGGAGGAGGAGGAGGAGGAGGAGGAGGAGGAGGAGGAGGAGGAGGAGGAGGAGGAGGAGGGGGGAGGAGGAGGAGGAGGAGGAGGAGGAGGAGGAGGAGGAGGAGGAGGAGGAGGAGGAGGAGGAGGGAGGAGGGAGGGAGGAGAGGAGGAGGAGGAGGAGAGGAGGAGGAGAGGAGGAGGGAGGAGGAGGAGGAGGAGGAGGAGGATGAGGAGGTGCATGCTTGCGCGCGCGCGCGGGCCGACATTTCCGAGCCCCAACCACGGCACCCCCAATATGATGGGTGATCCAGGGTCGAGGGTTCACAGGCTCCCCCCTCCCGAGTTGCGATGGGTCCCAGAGTTCAGAGGACCCCTTCCCCCGGGGGCGGCGGCGGCGCTGACGACGACAACGACGACGGAAGACGACGGAAAACGACGGAAGTCGACAGCGACGACGACCACGACCACGACCACGACGACGAAGACGACGACGACGGCGGCGACGACGACGACGACGAGCCACAATCTCACGGAGGGGGACCCATCGCGCGGGGGAGGCCGAAGGCATCAGCATGGGAGGTGGGTCCTGGAGCCCTGCATTGTATATATATATATATATATATATATATATATGGATGTATGTCTATACACATGTGTGTATATTCCTCTTCCTATATTTTTGCAAGCCTGGGCGGGGGGAAAACCCGTCCCCCCCCCCCCCCTCCCAAAACCGGACTCCTGGGATCTGGGGCTTTGGGACCCTTCGGACGGGCCTCGAAGCGGCCCCCAGGGCCTCGCAGGGCGTTTTGCCAAGCCTTCGCAGCCAGCACACCTAGGGCGATAAGGGGGGTCATCGGAGACGTCCCAGAGAACCCGAAGACAACACAAAAGCGCTCCAAGAAGCCGTCATACCCCGAAAGATCGCTCCAAAACGTACCAAGAGGCCTCCAAGAGCACCCCCAAGAAGGCCCCGAGAGGGAAACATAATTGATTTAATGTAGGTTTTTGGTGAATTTGGGGTTCTCCTCTTTTCGGCTTCCCGACGCTCCAAGACAGCGGTCTTCTGGGCGTCCGAAGTCGCCTGGGAGGCTCCCAAATCGCCCCACAACCATCCGAGGTTTCCAGGCAGTCCAAGAGAACCCCAAAACGGCTCAACAGGGGTCCAAAATGGCCCTAAGAGAGCCCCACGGCGGCCCAAGATGGTCCCAAGACACCCTCCGAAACATTCCAAATCGTGACCGGGGCGTTCAGGGAGACCGCGGTTAGAGGCAGGTTGGCTCTAGGAAGCCCCAGAGGCCCCCAGAACACGCCCAGGAGACCTCCAGAAGGCTTTAAGAAAGCCTGAGAACTTTGGTGAGGCCCCAGAAGCTCTCCAAGCAGGAGCCTCCGCAAAAAGAGCTGAGGAGGATGAGGATAATGCCCAGGGTATGGCATGGAGGAAGGATAACGAACAACATTATTACAATGGCGATGCCAAGAAAGGCAGCAAGGAGTTATTGCTAAATTGTCCGCTTGACCTTCCTGCCATTTTCGCCTGCATACCAATCTTCAAGGACCAAGGTGCATGGCGCGAAGCGTCACTGCAATCTTTGTGTGTATATATATGTATATGAATATTTCTATCGCATATCTTGTATACCTGTATTTGCGCGTATGCGTCAGACGTCGTAGATCTTCCGGCACTCACCAGGCGGGATCGCCACCTCCTCGTGGTCGTCCTCCCCGAGGAGCCCTCCTATGAGGAGGCCAGCCTTCTTCAGGTTGCGAGCGAAGAAATTCAGATATGCAACGCCCTCTTTGGTGCGGCCGTGGACCACCTTCAGCTGCATCTTCCCGAAGGAGATCCACTTCGTTCCCGTGTGGGCCGCCCCCTTGCCCGCGGTGAAGAAGAAGCCGGTGCCACTGGGCTGCCCGAGCTCGTGTGCCTTGACCTCTGCCCACTTCCCGGTGATGTTGACGCTCATGAAGTACGTGTCCGCACACGCGCCGCCTATCTGCTGGGCGTCAGCTCTCACAAGCAGCAGCACATTCGCGGGGCGAGCCTTGAATGGCACATGGATGAGGGAGTGGACGCCAGGCTTCATCAAGTCAAAATGCTGCCCGTGCACATTGACCAGGTGTGGGTCACCAGCTGCACTCATCTGGGCAGTCGCTGGAGGCGTTAGTGGGTATGTCGGCGCCGGTGTCGGGGCGGGCGTTGGCGCGACTGTCGGAGCGGGGGTTGGAAACGGTGTCGGGAAGGGCGTCGGGAACGGCGTCGGATAGGGCGTCGGGAAAGGCGTCGGGTAGGGTGTCGGGAAGGGCGTCGGAAAAGGCGTCGGGTAAGGCGTCGGAAAGAGAGTTGGGTAGGGCGTCGGGAAGACCGTCGGGTAGGGTGTCGGGTATGGTGTCGGGTCGAGGGTCGGAGAAGGTGTCGGTGCCATTGTGGGTCCGGGAGACGGCGCAAGTGTCGGTGCCGGAGTCGGTGCTGCTGTCGGCGCCAGTGTCGGTGAATCAGTCGGCGCGGCTGTCGGGGCAAGGGTTGGAGATGGCGTCGGCGAGTTCGTCGGCGCTGGTGTCGGGGCAGACGTCGGCGATTTGGTCGGCGCGGCTGTCGGGCTGAGAGTTGGAGACGGTGTCGGCGAATCCGTCGGAGCAGCAGTCGGAGATTCGGTGGGTGCCACAGTTGGCGCAGGAGTCGGCGCAGCTGTCGGCACAGCTGTCGGCGAAGAAGTCGGAGCTGCTGTCGGCGCCATTGTCGGTGCATCGGTGATAACGCATGGTTCGCTGTCCTGGTGTGTGAAGTAAGGTGACGTACCAGATATGGCGAAGTTGCGGCCCCACTGCTGGATGTATTCCTCGGGCTTGTCCGTCAGGATCCTGAACGCGATGTCGAACGAGCTCACGTTGTCGAACTCTACCATGAAGCACCGCTTCGCCTGGTCCACGGGGACCGCTGTGGGGTCTGGACAAGTGATGTTGACGAGGTTGTCCGTGTCCGTCGGATTGTCGCAACCGTGGCCGAACATCTGCGACTGTGTCCGAATCCCAAACTGTCCACCGGAGGCGGCGGTGTACTTCAGGGCGTTTCTGCCAGAAATCATGGTCGGGATCGTTTCTACGTTGTAGGTCAATGCGGTCGGGGTTGTGGCGAAAATCGTTTCATGCACATACAAGTCCAAGTCGTAGTCGAGGCCGTAATCGACAGTATAGAGAGCGCTGACACCGTCAAGCATCAGAATCTCATTCTCCCCCTGAGCATAATGGTCGATGTCACAGAACGTGAGCTTTGGCAGCTTCGGCGTCTCCGGGCAGAAGGTGTGATTCCTCACGAACTCTGCCCTCAGCGTTGCGAATTGCCCGACGAGGAGGTTCACCACCGCCTGACTCCCAGAAATGTGGTTCCAGTTAGTGTTCCTTGGGACATAAGCGCTTGTGTTCACGAAGACGATGTCGACGTGGACACCATTCATCAGCTGCCCGACGCCATAATATCGGAGCTCCTTGGGCTTGCCGAAGTCCGGACCCAATCCAGCAAGATTTGAATGGGAATTCCTCCCCCAACCATCGTTGTTCTCGGCGGTGAACGTGACCCAGTTCTCGCAAGTGGTCGTTATTTCTGGCTCCGCGGGGCACTCCTTTGGACATACGCAGCACATGGACGAAGAGAAATCTTCGTCGTCATAGTAAGGGTCGAGGCAGAGGCCGACATACGGGTTCTGCTCCACGTAGCTGTAGACTTCGCACCCGTTGCCTTTTCTGTTCGTGGCCCCATTTGCAGAATCTACACACGTTGTCGGCGCTGGAGTCATTGCAGCGGCCGCTTGCCTGGCAGACCAAGAGCCTGCCACGAACTTGCTGGCACCATGCTGCATCTGGTGTGGCACGCCCGCTACGGAGTTGACTCCAGTGGCGTACGTGATCGCGCCGTGTAGGGAGAACAGGCCTATCGCCATTGCCGCCTGGCTCCCGCGGCGAGGCGCGACGAACGGGAGAATGCGAAACACCTCCATCTAGGTATGGACTTAGGCTGACCCGGTCGGATCGATCAAAGAAGTTAGTGTCAATGTGATCCCACTTCCTGGGCACGGCGTGGCTTCAACCAAACCTTGAGCCAAAGTGGTTACGGATTGTATATCTGTTTATATGTATACACATGTTAGCCAGCGTGGTCCCCAACCAATACGCTTCTGGAGCTACATGTTGTGCAAGCTATACGGGGCGATCTGCGTGGTGCAATCTCCGTTGTGCCATCTATGTGGTGCAATCGGTGTGGTGCAGCATACGCTGTGCAATCAATGTGGGGGAACATACGTCGTGCAATCTGCAGGGTGCAATTCACCCTTCCGAACTTGAACTTGTCAACTCCACTGCTCGCGCAAACATCCCACCCATCCACCCGCAATTTTGTTTGCAAAAATCATGCGACGGCGATTGCGATGAGTGCTTGGCGTTGGCTGGTGCATCTCTGCGGCCGCGCTGGTCCGCGCATGCTCGTGCGCTCAGCGACCCGCTAGTGCGGCGCGACCGACGCGGCCGCGGTGGCGCTGACCGCTGGGTACTTCCAACGGGCACCTCAATGCGAGTCGGTGACGTGGACGGGCGCGGTATCATGGCGACGCCGACATCGGTAGACACGATGATGAGAGTAGCGGTGATGGTGATGATGGTGGCGATGACGACTGCAAGGCCAATGACGGCACCGATGTTGATCACGCCCGCCGATCACGACGACGATGTCCTCGCGTCGGTGATGTAGGTTTTGGGAAGAATTCGACATGCGCGCGCGGCCGACGCGCGCGAGAGGCCCGCGTGGTATTACTTGACACGGGTCGTGCCCCCCCAGCACGAGCGCAAGGGCTTTCGGATGAGTTTGACATGCGGCGCGGGAGGCCCGTTTGGCAGAATCTGATGGCAATGTTGAAAACAAAAACATGGTTTCCTTCAGACTTCGCCAGGGCGCGCACGCATTTGAAAACTTATTTTGCAAAGCCATGTGTTTTTATTTTGTTCAGACGCTCGTTTTTGACATCCTCACGGAACCTAGAAAGTTTTTGACGGATTTCGGCATGCGCACGCGACGACGCGCGCGTGCACTTCGTCCCATTTGTTGCAAGGGATTCTTGCGACAGCACGCGCGCAGGGGCGTTCGAGCGATTTCGACATGCGCGCGCAAGAGGCCCGCTTGGTTGCAGCTTATGAGCATGTTGAAGAACCAATGTGTTCTTAAGAATTCGCAATAGCGGGTTGAAGTCTTTGTTTGAAAACCCTTGTGGCGAAGCCATGTGTTTTTTTTATGTTTTCTTCGTGACACTCGATTTTTTAATCCTTCCGAAACCTTTGGTTTTTGAGAGGTTTCGGCATGCGCGCGCGACGACGCGCGCGTGTGCACTTCGTCCCGTTTTTTGCAAGGGATTCTTGAAAACGGATAATTGTTGATAAGCGCGTGCGCGCGCATACATTTTTTTGCAGAGGATGAGGGGGGAGGGGGGGCGAACTCAGGCCTGGCTGGGATGGTATGATATCATATTTAGGATGGTCGATGGGGCAGAATCATGTGTAAATTGCATATCCCCAAGGGGTACCGATAAGACTGGCCTCGGGGATCCTAAGTCTATTTTTGTTGACAGGAGAATATGTGTGGTGCAATCTATGCGATGCGCTCTATGTGGTGAAATCTAGGTTGTGCAATGTCTGTTGTTCAACCTACGTGTTGCAATCGATACTGTGCAATACATGTCGTGCAATGTACATTGTGCAAGCTGTGTGGTGCAATCTATGTGGTTGTCCAGTATACACTGTGCTATCTATGTGGTGCACGCCTTTCTTGCGAGCAATCAAAAAGCGCGCCGCAGGCACGAACACATGTTCATACAGTCTATGCGGTGCAATCCAGCGGCGGCGACGAAGCGGCGACGGGGCGACGACGTCGAGTACATAGCCGCCAAACTGGCCACACGGCCCAAACGACGGGCGACCACGATGCGGCGACAAGGCGGCGACGGCGAGCACATAGCAGCCAGACCGGCCACACGGCTCAATTAATTAGAGCAAAAGTGAGGACCCCTAAGTGCAAGCACTGTTTGGGGAATGTATATACATACGTGACTAGACATTTGCAGGTGTGTGCATAGATCGACTGATGCGTCGGCCAACGCCCATACACATGCGAAAAGAAACCGTCGTGCAAGAACTCTCAGGCCGCACTCTTCGTCTGAGCCCAGCTTTCCTGAGGCAGCCCGGGAAGCCTGTGGGTGCCTGGGGCCACCAGAACATGGTAACCCTCTGTAGCGCACCCGTTAGCAGGCCGATTTTGTAGTGTGTGTGTGTGTTTGTGTGTGCGATTGTGTTTGTGTGTGTGTGTGTGTGTGTGTTTGTGTGTGTGTGTGTGTGTGTGTGTGTCTGGTTGTGTGTGTGTGTGTGTGCCTGCTGCAGCTGTGACGGGGGCAAGCTTCAGGAATCCACACCGTAATTTCCCCAAGCACGTCAAGAAGTGCGCTGGAAAATCAGGGCGAAGGGTGCTGGAGAGCACGTGCCCACAGCTTGATTGAGTAATTCAGTGAGGGTTTCAATAGCGACTGCTGCTGCCGATCCACTGCTGCTGAACCTTCTGCTCCGACAGGTTGCGAAAGGGAAAACCAGGCTGCAACGTGGACATCAAGCCCGTGAAAACCGATCGGAACACGCTATAAATCCCCGAAGCTGCCAGTGCAACCCCAGAGGTTCGCATGCCTGTAGTTTCTCTGGCGCACCCACACGTTCGCCGCCAGCTTCGTGCCCTCGATCACGGGCAGAGCCGCGTGAGTCGTGCGCACCTCGATCTCGGAAGGCCTGTCGCTCACCAAACTCGGCCACAACAACGCCTTGCCCTGTGCCGGCGTCACCGTCACGTTCAAATTTGGGAAGCTGGTTCCACCGCCCTCCTTCACTTCGTCGAAGTCCGCCACCGTGCCCGCTGGCACGTCGAGGCGTGCCGTAACGCCAAGTGCTGTCTGCTAGGCCTTCTGCAAACTTTCTAGCACGGCCCGCCCCTCCTCCCAGTCACACTTCCGGGCGTTCCCGCCTCACGAGGGTTCCTGGGCGGTCCGACGCAACCCTCGGGGTCCTTCACAGCTCTCCGAAGCTTCCAAGACGGCCCAGGGACCCCGCGGGCCCTCAGCTGGCCCCCCAAACTGCCTACAGGGAGTCTCATTTCGGCACGTATGCCTCGCGCAATTTGAGGCCTAGTAGGCCCACTGTGAGCTCCAAACGGGCCCCTAGTCGGCTCTGGACGGCCCCAAGAAAGCCCCAAGCTGGCCCGGATGGACCCAAGACGGCCTGACAGGCCCTGCAGTCGGCCCAAGAAGGCTCCAAGAGACCCCCCAGACCCAAGATGATCTAAGACGACCCCCAGTGACCCCCACGACTGCCCAACGAGAGCCCCAGGGTAGTCCCCAAGACGGCCCAAAGAGTTCCCGTGAGAGCTCCCCGAGAAGTGGAGACGCGAGGTGTCACATGTGACGGCCGTCTGGGCGGTACGAGAGCGGTCGCCACACAGGGTGCTTTGCTGGCACTGTGGCGGATTTGTCGCAGACACCTGGCTACAGGAACATCGTATAAAGGCGAGGGCCGCATGCAAGTCTCCAATCGTGTGGTGAGGTGTCGTGGTGAGGCTGGTACTCCTGTCCCCTCCCGTATCGGAGCACCTGCATGTATTCGAAATTCTGCTCGGAGACCTGAACGACAGCGGCGATGCGCTTTATCAGCTTCTTCACAACAGGATTGCTAGAGCAGCCGCTGTTATCGTCGCACCAAGCGTTGCTGCTGGTCCGAGAGGTGGAGGTGATCTTCGACTGCACGCCAGTGGCTTCATCGATGGATCCCTGGTCCGTGCTGCGTTGGAGGTGAGGTTCAGTAAGTTGCATGATCACCCTGGCCTCCTCCGCCGTGACGAAGTTATCGAAGGTGGCCACGTAAGGGTTGTCGGGCTCGGACAAAAACTTCACGTTGTACTCTGGGAAACGCTTTGGGAGCGACTCGAACATGCGGGCTATATCTCCTGGGCCCACCACTGATTCATTCGATAGGCCCAGCCGCTCCAAACTGCAACGCACCTTCGGGTCAAGGAGGTGGCACATGCCACACGTGGCCGCACAATTGACCGCCATCCAGCCGGGATTCGTGCCGCAGGAGCCAGCGAAGCCCTGGCAGCGCGCAGCGCCGACGAGGTCCCTGCAGCCAGGGTTGAAGCTATACTCGCGCATGCTGCCGTCGACCGTCAGCGTGTGCCGGCGCGTGGCGCCGGACTCCTGCGGCGAGAAGAACAGGCGCGCACCCACCGAGGCCCGCAGGTCCACGGCGCCCCCCGGCGGCAGCGACGCGAGCCTCTGCGGTGGCCCGCTCGGGCCCGTGGGCTCTGCGAAGAGGTGCACGTCGCCGGAGCCGGGGTTTCGGAACGCCACGTCCACCTGCGCTGGGGAGCCGGGGCCATGGAGTTAGGTCGGGCACGTCCCCCTACAGGCGGATTTTGGACGAAAACTAAAAAATCAAAACATGCAAAAAAATAGATCAAAAGTCAAACATGGTCAAGAAATCGTCCCCGTACTATTTTTCTTTCACTATTTTTCAACTTCCCTCCTGAATAGGGACGCGCCCGACTCAACCATAGAGGAACACGCCGGCGAGCACCGCGACGATCAATGCGGCGCCCGCGCCGACGAGCCACGCTGGCGTCCCCGAGCCCTTCGCCCGGCCGCTCTTGGGCTTCGCTGCCTTGGCCACGGGCTTGCTCGCCTTCGCCATGTCCCCGCCCCGAGGGGAGGGGCGGCGGCAGCGCGCCCGGCACAGTAGCCAAGCCCGGTGCGCTCGATGCAAGAGAGTCTACGGTGCTCGGCGGCGCGCTCTCGTGCGAGGTTGCTGGGCTGCCTCGACTCGTCGTTCGCACCGGTTCTCGATAGATCTTGCTCTTGGCATCCATCCGTCACCTCCCCCGCTCCGCCCTGGCTCTGCACTCGCTGCTCGCCTCGCTCCGGCG